GCGGGGGAGCAATATGAGTGCCAGCCAGTCCTGGGGCCCCTTGCAAAGAGACGAGGCCAGCGAACTTGCCTGCTGCTTGCAGCGTTATTCCAGCCATGCAGGCACCTTGGAGTGCTTCCCAGGAATGGTAGAGGTCTTCCTCCCAGGCTGTCCAGCTGGCAGCCTTCACCTAGCATGCTCTAATTTGCTGTCCTCAAAACATGCTCATTCTGCATCCCTGGTGGCCATGAAGCTCAGAGCTCTGGGCTGGCTGCATCAGTGCACAGATGAAAGGCCCATCCTGCCCCAGGCCACTTGGCTCACTGCCCTCCTAATCACTTTTCATTGCAGGCTCTTCATGCCAAACCTGGTGCCCCCTAAAATCCCAGATGGGGAGAGAGTGGATTTTGATGTGAGTAGTACCCCTGTGTCCATTCCATGGGGTGTTCCTCTCTTATCCCTCCTCCTCACCATGCCCATCAGCTCTTGCAACTTCCAGCAGGTTTTACTTGTGCGAATGTCACAGTCTCCACTTTTCCTTTGTCTGGTGCAGGATATCCACCGCAAGCGTATGGAAAAGGACCTGAATGAACTGCAGGCCCTCATCGAAGCCCACTTTGAGAGCAGGAAGAAGGAGGAAGAGGAGCTGATGTCCCTCAAAGACAGGATTGTATGCTTGCTGCTTTGTCCCTTTATCACTATTTCTACCCTCTCCCCAGTGGGCAAAGAGGCACTATCTTTTCCCCACAGCCTCGACAGCAAGACCTGAGGCATCCTGTGTCCCTGCAAGAGATGGCCTGAAGTCTGAGCCAGGTCTTTGTGTCCTGGTACCTGGAAATTCCCTTGTCTGGCTAGTGCAATGCTGCAGACCTGCCCCACCGGCACTTTCCATGGTGGACTCCAGTCCATGCACTCCCCTGGAAGAAGTGGGAGCAGGATATCTGCCCTTGGGGTTCACAAAGCCTGGCTTCTGGTCAGAGATGTGTTCCAGAGGATGAAAATTCCCTGGCATGCCCAGGCCAATGCCCTTTCCTTTCACAGGAACAACGACGAGCAGAGAGGGCAGAGCAGCAGCGCATCCGCAGTGAGAGGGAGAAGGAGCGCCAAGCCCGCATGGCTGTGAGTTTCTCTCCTGGGGCCAGCGTGAATCGAGTGCACCCTCAAGGCTGTCTTTGCCCTTCACCAGACCATTCCAGAGTGTCTGGCATTCCCTATCCCTGAGCTGTGGCCATGCTCCCTTGCTGAGCACCTCTGTGCATCCAGCCCTGCTGCGGCAGCTCCTCTAGTGCGAGTCCCACGATGGAGTGCAGAGGAGGACAAGGATGCACAGGGCCCCTGTCTCCAAGGTCTCTGCCCATCCTCTCCTAACCCACTTCTAACCCTTGCAGGAAGAGAAAGCTCGCAAAGAGGAGGAGGAGGCCAGGAAGAGGGCTGAAGAAGAGGCCCGGAAGAAGAAAGCTTTCTCCAACATGCTGCATTTTGGAGGCTACATGCAGAAGGTTTCATTCTGTCCCAAGGGTGATTTGTATGAGGCTGCTGGTGCCCTCAGGAAGGGCTCAACTGGGGGCTGGTCAGAAGGTCAAATTGAGTTTAGAGCCTCATTTTGCAGATGCCAGGCGAGCCCACATGCTAGGGGAGTCCAACCTTGCCCCCAGGGATGGGGAAAGGGTGAAGAGGAGCAGGGGAAAGCATGAGTGGGCAGAAAGGTGACTTGTTAAAGGGCCAGATGTGTTGTGGAGGGTTGTCTTGTCCAGTATTGTCAACATTTCCTTGAACTCATGTGCTTCTCATGTCCCAAAAGCAGAGGGCACTGGAGGCCAAACAAGGGATGGGCATTGGGGTAGAGCCAGGAAGGGACAGGAGAAGCTGGGGCTGGGCTGGAGGAGAGGAGGAGGGGTGATTGGGCAGATTTCCTTCCTTGTGATTGCTGATTTCTTCAGACAGAGAAAAAGGGTGGGAAGAAGCAAACAGAGAGGGAGAAGAAGAAGAAGATCCTCAGTGAGCGGCGGAAGCCCCTGAACATTGACCACCTTGGTGAAGACAAGCTAAGGTGAGAATGGGCTGCAGGAGGGGCGTTTGCGACGGAGCCCCCCACTCAAAATCCCACCCCCTGGAGCACTGCCCGGGTGTGGGTGGGTGCCCTGGGCTTGCGGTGTGGACTGCAGGGTGATGGCACAGCTGGGTGAAGGGCCACAAGATCCCACCCGGGGCATGGACACCCGTGGCTCTGCAGGGCCACCGCTGCTGCTGGCGGGGCTG